GTTCAGACTCGATGGCACCTGACAACAACAACATAGGGTTTTCGAGGAGCCGCTGATGAGTTTGAACCACCAAACTTGCGGTTCAAACCAACCTTGAGGTTAAGTGCTTATCTTGCGGTGCCACGCCAGGACTCTAGGCTTATAGTTAGGACTAAGGTTAATGTTAGGGGTAGGGGTTGGTCTAGGGCTAGGAGTAAGCCTTGGTCTAGTTTTAGGAATACAGTTAGGTTATTTCTTTCTGGAAATCTACTTGATTTCCACTTCATTTGGAAATTCTGTAACTACATTATTCCATTTTTTAAATGTATGTTGTTTTCTTTTGTTGTTGCAAATCCCCTTGGATTCCCTATTTTGAGTCTTGTAGGTTTGTTTTACTTTGAATACTTCTGTATCTGGTTTGGTATCCTGATGTGATGCTGTAGGATAAGCACTGGCATGCAAGGTTGGTTTGGACCACAAGGTTGGCAGTTCAAACTCACTAGTTGCTCCTCAGAAACCCTGTACAGGGTCGCTATGAATTGGAGTAACTCAACGGCACTTAACAATACATCTGAGTTGAGTTCTAGATGATATTGTCATGTGTGTTAGTCTCAGATTGTCATTTGCTGTTGTTGGTTCTCTGTCCAAAGAACCCCTGTTAATATTTTTTGTAAGGTTGGTCTGTTTTTTGCAAATTCTTATCGTTTCTGTTTATCTGGAAATGTCCTCATTTTGAAGTCATAGTCGATGGACATTTTTGCTGAGTGTATGATTCTTGGTTGGCAACATTTTTCTTTCAGAGTTTTATATATGTCTTAATTAGTTAAATTAAGTCTTAATAAGTTAAATAAAGTACCTTCAAGTTGATTCCCACTAACAGTGACCCTGCATAGGGTTTCCAAGTAGCAGGTGGTAGGTTTGAACCACTGACATTGTGGTTCCCAGTCAAGTGCTTATCCTACAGCACCACACCAGGAGTCCACTAGTTAGTCTTATTAGTTATCCTTTATAGACAATTTTGTGTTTCCCAATCTGTTGCCAGGATTTTTTCCTTGTCTTTGGTTTTGAAGAGCTTGATTATAATATGTCTTGGTGATTTCCTTTTGGGGTCTACCCTGTTTAGAGTTCATTTAACTTTTTTAATGGTTATCTTCATATCTTTCATGATGTTACAGACATTTTCTTTCAGCAACTCTTAAGCAATTTTCTCGTTGTTGTTTTTTTTTTTTTAACTTTTCCTGTTTGGGAATTCCAATCACACATAAATTATTCCTTTTGATAGTGTCCCACATAAATCTTAAGGTTTCTTCAGATTTTGGAAGGGCATTGGCAAAAAATTATTATTTTAATAAGATTATTTGGGGAGGTGGGGTAATTGTTCATGTGAACCCAAACTTCTTTTTTTATAAAAAGCTTTTGTTGTGACTTGAGTGATAGTTTACATGGGAGAACATCGGTTTTGCACTAATCCTATCGTATTTTGTTTTATTGCAATGATTACAGTCCCCTCCATGCATCATCATTCAACTGTATTTGCTTCTATTCCCTCTGTTTTTTGTAGGTTTTTTTGTTGTTGT